TGCCCTGGGGTTTTCATTTAGTAGCCTGTGGCTTCTAGGAAGAAGAGTATACACACATACAAGGTGCTTCTGCTTAAAATTTTTTAAACTATATTCTTTTAATTAGCTTACCTCTAAAATAATAGGTTTACATGAGGGCATTTGTTTCAGATACTTAGTTTTTGTTAACCTTTCCTTTCAACCTGTTTCCCTATTCCCATACCCCATCCCAGCCTAAGCCCCTCTATCCTACAACTATTTCATATTCTGTGTATTCTGTATTCCCCTCCTTTAAGGCTTCCTCTCTAGTGACCCTTTTTGGCTTCTTAGCCTCTATAGACACTATGAGCTAAACATACTAGTCCTAGAGTTCAAAGGTAGGGTCTGCAAATGAGAGCAATCACATTGCATTTGTCTATCTGGGCCTGGGCCTACGTCACTTGATGTGTTTCCCAGTACTGTCCATTTTCAGCAGAATTTCTGTGTGTGTGTGTGTGTGTCTGAATAAAATCCAATGTGGCACTTATGCATGTGCATGCGGCAGTCAGCACATCTGCCACGCTGCTCTAGTCTGTGTGTCAGAGGCATAAAGTAAGTTCCAAGTGTTTCACCTTTCATCCCTGAGCATCTTAGAGAGTAGATATAATTCTTTTAAAAAGGCTTGTAGCCAGGCATGGTGGCTCATACTTATAACCAAATACATGGGAGATTGATACAGGATTGCCACAAGTTCAATGCAAATCTCAGACTCTGTCTCAAGAGAGAGGGGACAGAGGAGGGAGGGAGAGAGGGAGAGAAAGAGAGAGAAAAGAAAGCAAAGATTGCAGCAGCCATCAGCACATGCCACAGTGCTCCAAGGGGTCTGAGAAACCCAGGGAGGCTCCAAAGTGTGACAAAATGGAAAAGGTGACTCATGAGATTGGAAAGAAAAATGACAGAGAATGACAAATCTATACCCTTTGCTGCTACATGGCAGGCAGCAGGCTGCAGGCACAAGGGTTGTGCCTTATGAGCCATGGGGCTGCCAGCACCAAAACCAGGAAGATGTGTGGCAGCCTGAAACTCCTGGAGAAATAGGTCAATGCTGGGTGGAGCTGGCCTAGGTTCATCAGCCAGTCCCCAGCATGGAGCAGCTTCAGTTGCAGCCCTGGCAGCCTGCCCTGCTGGAAACAAAAGACACAGGCAGTGTTGCTGCCTACAGTCTACAAGGTTAAGGTCGGGTGGGTGGGGAGGTGTTTGGCAGCCAGGCGCCAGCTCTCAGACACCCTTCCTAGCCACAACATCACCCTGACTCTGGGCAGCAGCAGGGTATCTGAGAGGAGGCTTGGCAATGTCTCGGCAATGGTCCACCATTTATGGTGCTTCAGAAACCAGAATCCTTGAACCAGATCAACAACTCATTGCAAAGGTATTTGGGGAAAAAATATACTGTGTGACACAGTGCAGTTTCCAGTGCCACTGTGATGAACAAATATGCACTGAAGAGGTGGGACAGATGGAGGAGTGGAGCGGTGAGTGAGCCTTGGAGAGAGGCAGAACTAGAGACATGAAGGTGGGGACAGCCGTGAGAGGAGGCTACTGTGTGGGGTGGGGAGTCTTGGACACAGACACACAGCACATGTCTTTGCTGAGTAGGGCTGACAGGTGCTGTGCAGCAGCATAGACTCAGTCCCCAAACAGGCTGCCCAGCCGCGTGATCATCCTGGCTCTGAGCAGTGACAGCATGTCCAAAAGGAAGAATGGTTTATTTGCTGAGGCAGACCTCCCCAAAGACCTTTATGGCGCATCCTACCCCAGGAGGCCATGTTGTTATCTGTTGTCCACTGCCCCAGGCCATGTTGAAGCCCAAGGTTAAAGTGGATGTCCATAGTTTGTGTTACCACAGGAGGTAGCAGGAGGCCTCATTAGTGTTTGTGGTCCAGGTGCCACCAGAGACCATGTTGATGTGAGTGGCCTGTACTGGCACTGATGGCCCTACTGGGGTTCTGAGGTTCCTGCTACAGCTGGGGTCTATGCTGCTACAGAGGAGCATGTTTGGTTCCATGATCCTACCGCCAGGGGTTGTGTTGATGCCTGTGGCCCATGTTACCATTGAAGGCCACACAGATCTTCATGGTGTGTGCAGCCACCTGAAGCCTTGTTGATATCCATGGGCCATGCTGCATGAGTGCCATGTTGACGTCTGTGGTCCATGCTGCCACCAAGCACCATGTCTGGATCTGTGATCCTGCTGCAGCTGGGGACTGTGTTTATGTCCTGGTTGGATACCAAAGACCATGTGGATGGCCGAAGTCCCTGTGGACACCTGAAGCCATGGTGATGTCCAGTGGCTGTGCTACCACCTGAGGCCGTGTTAATGGCAATGGGGACCATACTGGTTCAGAGACCATGTTGATCCTCTTGGCCTGTGCTGCTGCTGAGGTCTATGATGGTGTCAGTGGTATGTGCTGGTGCATAGGGCTGTGTTGATGTCCGTGGTCCTACCCTTCCCCCACCCCAAGAAAGTAACAGCCTAGACAGGAAACAATCAAAGAGAACTCTAAAAAATTAGTTAAGAATACTGAACTGTCCCTCTCAACAATTGATGGTGTCTAGTGTGTGTGTGTGTGTGTGCAGGTGGGGGGGGGGGGTGGAAAAGGACTGAGTTGTCTTTAAGTACCTGCCAACTATTGGGAGTTTGACCATGCTTCAGTTAGTATAATGACAACACAAACTGGACTTGTGGTTCGTTTTCTTCCTTTTTGAGGGGGGATCTCTAGGACTGGGGGATGGACCTGGGAGGACTAGGAAATGACTGTGATCAGGGTTCATGATGTGAAATTCCCAAATAACCAATAAAAATATCATGTCAGAGAAAAAATATAAAATAAATTTAAAAAGAGGGGAAATTCTGATTTTTGTTGTCATTTTCCATCAGGTTGGCGGTTTTTTATTTGATTTGAGATATGGTCTTACCATGTAGCACAGACTTACCTCAAAGTGTGGATCCTTCTGCCTCCACCGCTCAAGCACAGAAGTACTGTTTGTGCCACTGCTCAGCCAGCATGATGTCTGAATCATAGTGCCATTATTATCACAACAAATTAACACCACGAAATACGTGATTTCTAACCCCCAAAATGATGTCTTACTTTCTCTTTACATTGAGACCAAACCTGGCAGTGCATCTCTGCAGTCACATACTATACAAGAGTACCTTCCACTCCCTGTTTCTAAATGACCCGAGTGCAGATTTTCCACTGCATGGCTCAATCATGGGCCATTTCTTTAAGCTACTACAAATATAAAATGTGAGAACAGATGAGAGAGAAAAAATTAGAATTATAAGTAACTTTAAGTTAAACCTATATAGACTGTAAAATAAAAAACAAGATTTTTATTTAAAGAAAAGGCCCCTTGTGTATGGTTTTTCTTTTAACTGAAGTGTTTGTAACAACTAATTTCACAAGGAATCAAAGCATACAAAATGACCATGTTCTTGTGACTGCTGTGTTTTGTATACCATTTTGCCAAATGTAGTCTCTAATACAAGAGGTAAACATGCCAAGAAATTTTACTTTTTGCTGGAAGGATAGGCTTAGTTCAGTTTTCATATGACTTAAAGAAACATCCCAAGGCTTAGGGAACAAGGAAGAGGGGGAGGGAAGAAAGAGAGACAGAGAGAGAGAGAGAGAGGGAGGGAGGGAGGGAGGGAGGGAGGAAGGAAAGAAAGAAAGAAAGAAAGAAAGAAAGAAAGAAAGAAAGAAAGAAAGGAAGGAAAGAAAGAAGAAAGGAAGAGAGAGAGAAAGCTGGAGGATGGGGCAGCTGCTGTGAAATGCCCTCTTCTGGATGGGACATCGTCCCAGTCTCAGTGCAGCTATGCACAAGCCTCAACAAGATCATGCCAACAACATGAGATCAGTCGGCTTGCAGCAGTGTCACCTAGAAGAGCAAAATCCTGGCATTTGAGAGAGAATAAGCAGAAAGGGGAAGGTCCCATCATGGACATGACCCCATGACCAGAAAGCCCATCCCAAGACCCTCCTCTTAAAGTTTTTACTACCTTTCAGTCATACCAAGCTCAGCAGTGGGGGTGGGTGGGGGACAGAGTCATTTGCAATCCAAACAAGTAGTTCTGTTCTGTTTCTCTCAAGCTGAGCATTTTAAAGCATAGACTCAAATTTCTGACATCCAGAAATAGCCACAGTAAGAGAGGGGAGAACTGAGATCCTCATCTGAGACCACAGAGATGAAAAGTCCCAGAGCTCAGACTAGATCTGTGGCCCGTGCCTGGCACAGCACGCAGGGGCCTAGCCCTTGTTGACTCCACCTCTGGCTCACCTGCGATGCTTCAGGGCTTCTCCCACTCTTTGCACGGAGACACTAAAGTCTTCCCACAAGGAAGCATCACTGTTTCTTGCACACCAGCTTTGGCAAAAAGAAGGGCTTGAACCTTTTTGACAGTATCTGCCTTAAGTTCTCATATCTGCATGCAGTAGCCTGGTGGGTTGTTCCTCAAGGGAGTATGTCCACAGAAAGATAGTCCTCTAACACATCACTGTAGTTAAGTTGCACCTAACTGTCCTTGTATTTCAAACACGGTGCTTCTGTTTCCACCAAGTGACTTATGAGGTGAAAAGAAATTTGTATTTTTAAAAATTCATCGTTCTTGTCATTCCCAGGAAGAGAACTTTTATGTACTAACACATCTCAGTCCCTTTCTTAAAAAGCCTCATTTATGTACCATTTAATCTTGGCGTGTGTCTTGTAGCAGCTATTTGCATATATATACAGCAATAATGAGGCTGACCTGGAAAGAATCTAAGTACTTAGCTCTCACCGTGTTTTACAACTAATTACATGTTCAAGAGCAGCCTTTAGATTCTGATCAGGTTAAACTCTGGATGGAAAAAATATCAATGGCCCAGAGAATTTAAATGACCTCCTCTTCATTTTGCTCTGGATGCATCAGTGCTATGAAGGGTGTTGCTGAAGGCAGTGTGGGGTGGCCACATTTGAAGAGATCTTTGCTCTTGCTGCAGGTGGATCATCCATGCCATGGAGTATGAACTACAGATCCGTGGCGGGGAGAAGCCAGCCATGGACTTGTACCAGCTCTCACCCAGTGAAGTTAAACAACTGCTGCTTGACATTCTCCAGCCCCAGCAGAGTGGAAGGTAAGGAGATCCTTTCATTACCTGTAGGACACTCAGAGACAGAGAAGCATATGCTTCATGAAAACTTAATACAACATTAATAAAAAAATTCAGAAGGCAGGCATGGTGGCATACACCTGTAATCCCAGAACCTACAAGGCTGAGACAAAGGATTGTCTGGGCTACACAGTGAATGCCAGGCCAGTGGGAACAGAGGGAGATTCAGCAGAACATGAGCCCATCATCCCAGCTAGAAAGCAGACACGACAAGGCAAAATATCCAGATTTATGCTTCTATGTTGATTTGAGTTTTATACTTTTTCCAGATATAATTTATAATACTTTCCCATTTTTATTATTCTGTGCAATATATAACATTTCATACAACTTTGATTAAATTTCTGAAGCTTTATAGTATATGGCATTTCCTCCCAACACTTTGGCAGAAGAAATTGGGTTTGGTAATATTATGTAGATGTGCTGCCTGATTTTGTCTCCCTAAATAGACTATAAGCATCAAAGCTAAACCCTTTCATATACTTAACTTAGAAGAGAATAAGAACAAAAAAGTATTTGTGGGTTGCCTTGAATTTAAGGGTTTGCTTTTTGTTTTTCTTTTTTTTTTTTTTAATCCAGGGTGAGCAGTAGTATAATTATTTAGGCAAGTACTTACTTGGTGTATTTGGGTCTAGCATCCCCATGATGATGAAGTTATATGCATAGAAGAGTCTATAACTAGACTGTCCACAAGAGAGGTTGTCTATAAAAGTGTGTCTGTGTGTCTATATGTGTATATGAATGTAGTATGTGTTTAACATATATATATTTATATACACGCATATATTATTCAGGCAAGTGCTTATTTATTGTATTTGTGTCTAGTATTGCCAAGATAATAGTGTTTTATATCTACATATATATATATATGATTACAAATATATGCCTTTCTGGCTTCTATAACAATATATTTGAACAAACAAGTAAGTCTCCTTGTTACAGACCAGTTAACATTATAAAAAAAAATCAGTTGTAAATGTAGCAGCATCCCAGTGACATTCCAAGAGCTGTTTTCTGGAGCCAGACAAGTTAAGTTCATGTGGAAAAGTAACATGAGAGAACTGACAAACATAAAAGAAAAACTTTCTTTAATCGTTTTAAAGCATGCTACATAGCTTCTGTGACTAAAACAGTGTGGCATTGGTGCAAAACCAGATAGGCCCATTGGAGAGAAAAGAGAGTCCAGAGATGAACCCTCAATAAAAATACTTTAGGAATGTGCTACATGACAATATTACCATCACAAGTCCCTGGGCCAAGAATGGATTTTTAAAATAAATATTTTGACATCTAGATCACTATTTGGAAAAGGTAAAATCAGACAGTCATTATGACATACAGGAACCAATTCCAAATAGATTAGAGAACCGCATGTAAGATATGAGGCATAAAAGACACTAATAAATTTCTTTTTAACTTTGGAATGGGAAAGACGTTAAGTATGATTCAATCCAAGGGTAGGATAAGAAGCAACTATTAAAGCCTATCAAATTTTAAATAATATTTTCACAAAGATAATGTCAAAAGAAAACCAAGAAACTGGACCCAAATGTGCTCTGAGGAGTTAACTATGCAAGAATTCTTAAGAACTGAGAGATAACCACCCAAAACCAAGAGGAAAATGGAGCACAACATGAACATTCTGTGCATTTCATTAAAAATGCTCGTTGGGTATTTTGAAAGATGCTCATATTAATGTACAAGTAGAGCTGAATATGGGGCGTGCTGAGACACTTTTTACATTTCTCATGGCCTAAGTTAGAATATGTGGTGAGCATTTGCCCAGGCTGTGGGGAGAGGAAACTGCACATGTAACTGAGGCCACAGACTTCCTGATAGGGTTTTACACCGAGAACTCTTTCCTTCTGCCCAGGTCCTTTTAGTAATCTACTTTGAACATATGTTTCCAACAACATGGAAATGTGTGTGCATACGATGATTGATTAAATCAGTGCTTAAAATTGAAAATCTTGGTATTTCTATAACCTAAATGTGATATGACCACACAATGGAGTACTGTGCATCTTTGAAGAATAAAATGCTTGCTAATATATATTGTTAAATGAAACAATAAATTATAAAGCAGTGTCTATTATGTATAGTTCTTATTTTTTTTTGAATTTTATTTTTTTCTTATCAGTTACATTTTATTAACTCTGTATCCCAGCCGTGTCCCGATCCCTCATTCCCTCCCAGTCCCTCCCTCCCTCATCTCCACCTTGCCCCTTGCCAAGTCCACTAATAGGGGGGACCTCCTCCCCATTCATCTGATCCTGTTTTATCAGGTATCTTCAGGACTGGCTGCAAAGCTCTCCTCTGTGGCCTAACAGGACTGCTCCTCCCTTGGGGGGTGGGGAGGCCAAAGAGCCAGTCATTGAGTTCCTGTTAGAAATAGTCCTTGTTCCCCTCACTATGGGAAACCAATTGGTTACTGAGCTACCACAGGCTACATCTGAGTAGAGGTTCTAGGTTACATTCATACATGGTCCTTGGTTGCATGTCAGTCTCAGAAAAGACCCTGTGCCCAGATATATCTGGTCCTTGTGGAGCTCCTATCCTTTCCTCATCAGAGTAACTCCCCTTCTTTCTTATGATTCCCTGTACTCTGCCAAAGGTTTGGTCATGAGTCTTTGCTTTGAAAACACTGCTAGTTAGAGTCTTTCAAATAGCGCTCAGTAGACTCCTGTCATATATTCAATGCACATCCCATCTGTCTTTCTAAACGAGGATTGATGATCTTACCCCATGTCCGCTCTATTAATTATCTTTTTTAGGTGTGTAGATTTCATTATGTTTATCATATCTTATAGGTCTATATAAGTGAGTATATACCGTGTTTGTCTTTCTCCTTCTGGGATATTTCACTCAGAATGATCTTTTCTAGATCCCACCATTTGCCTGCAAATTTCATGATTTCCTCCTTTTTGATTGCTGAGTAGTATTCCATTGTGTAAAAATACCACAATTTCTGTACCCATTCCTCCGTTGATGGACATCTGGGTTGTTTCCAGGTTCTGGCTATTACAAATAATGCTTCTATGAACATGGTTGAGCAAATATCCCTTTGTGTACTTGAGCAAACTTTGGGTATATACCTAGCAGTGGTATAGCTGGGTCTTGAGGAAGCACTATTCCTAATTGTCTTAGAAAGCGCCAGATAGATTTCCAGAGTGGTTGTATCAGTTTACATTCCCACCAGCAGTGGAGGAGGGTTCCCCTTTCTCCACAACCTCTCCAGCATGTGTTGTCCCTTGAGTTTTTCATCTTGGCCATTCTGATGGGTGTAAGGTGATATCGCAGGGTCGTTTTGATTTGCATTTCCCTGATGGCTAATGAGGATGAGCATTTCTTTAAGTGTTTCTCTGCCATTCGATATTCCTCTGTCGAGAATTCTCTGTTTAGCTCTGTTCCCCATTTTTTAATTGGATTCCTTGGTTTGCTGCTTTTCAGCTTCTTTAGTTCTTTGTATATACTCGATATTAGTCCTCTGTCAGATAAAGGGTTAGTGAAGATTCTTTCCCAATCTGTAGGCAGGCGTTTTGTTTTGATGACGCTGTCCATTGCTTTACAGAAGCTTTTCAGTTTCATGAGGTCCCATTTATTGATTGTTGCTCTTAGAGCCTGAACTGTTGGTGTTCTGTTCAGGAAGTTGTCTCCTGTGCCAATGAGTTCTAGGCTGTTCCCCACTTTTTCTTCTAACAGATTTAGAGTATCTGGTTTTATGTTGAGGTCTTTGATCCACTTGGACTTTAGTTTTGTGCAGGGTGATAAATATGGATCCATTTTCATTTTTCTGCATGTAGACATCCAGTTGGACCAGCACCATTTGTTGAAGATGCTGTCTTTTTTCCATTGAATGGTTTTGGCTTCTTTGTCAAAAATCGAGTATTCATAGGTGTGTGGGTTTATTTCTGGGTCTTCTATGCGGTTCCATTGATCCTCCTTTCTGTTTCTATGCCAATACCATGCAGTTTTTATTACTATTGCTCTGTAGTACAACTTGAGTTCGGGGATGGAGATACCTCCAGATGATCTGTTGTTGTACAGGATTGTTTTGGAGATTCTGGGTTTTTTGTTTCTCCATATGAAGCTGAGAATCTTTTTTTCAAGGTATGTAAAGAATTGAGTTGGTATTTTGATGGGAATTGCATTGAATCTGTAGATTGCTTTTGGCAGGATGGCCATTTTCACAATGTTAATCCTACCAATCCATGAGCACGGGAGATCTTTCCATCTTCTGAGATCTTCTTCAATTTCTTTCTTCAGAGACTTGAAGTTTTTCTCAAACAGGTCTTTCACTTGCTTGGTTAGTGTCACCCCAAGATACTTTATGTTATTAGTGGCTATTGTGAAGGGTGTTGTTTCCCTAATTTCTTTCTCGGCCCTTTTGTCTTTGGTATACAGGAGGGCTTCTGATTTTTTTTGAGTTGATTTTGTATCCTGCCACTTTGCTGAAGGTGTTTATCAGCTGGAGGAGTTCTGTGGTTGAATTTTTGGGGTCGCTCATATATACTATCATATCATCTGCAAATAGTGACACTTTGACCTCTTCCTTTCCAATTTGTATCCCCTTGATCTCCTTTAGTTGTCTTATTGCTCTGGCTAGGACTTCATGTACTATGTTGAAGAGGTATGGAGAGAGTGGGCAGCCTTGTCTTGTCCCTGATTTCAGTGGGATTGATTTAATTTTCTCTCCTTCGAGTTTGATATTGGCTATAGGCTTGCTGTATATTGCCTTTACTATGTTTAGATATGTGCTTTGTATTCCTGATCTCTCCAAGACTTTAAACATAAATGGGTGTTGGACTTTGTCAAATGCTTTTCAGCATCTAAGGAGATGATCATGTGGTTTTTCTCCTTCAGTTTGTTTATGTGGTGGATTACATTGATGGATTTCCGTATGTTGAACCACCCTTGCATGCCTGGGATGAAGCCTACTTGGTCGTGGTGGATGATATCTTTGA